TAGCCAGTGGTGTCCTTGAATATCTATCTGATCGTCTTGCCTCCATCTTCTCAGCAGTGGGACTATGAGTGTGTGCCACCATGTCTGGTTTACACATGTATGTTCCACTGATCACCTTGGGGTGAATCACTAGTCTACACTGTCCCAACCCCCACATGACCTATAGGTCCTCTTTCCACCCACACTCAGTCAGGTGGGACTCAGTTTAATTTTCATCTTTATTTATTTTTTTTTGAGACAGGGTTTCTCTGTAGCTTTGGAGGCTGTCCTGAACTAGCTCTTGTAGACCATGCTGGTCTCAAACTCACAGAAATCCACCTGCCTCTGCCTCCCAAGCGCTGGGACTAAAGGCGTGCACCACCACCGCCCAGCAATTTTCCACTTTCTTATCACTAAGCAGCTGCCTCCTCTTTGAGGCCTCTTTGGCTTTGTTTTCTCATGAAAGCATGGCAGGCCCAGCTGTCTAGCTTTATTCCTGGCCAAGACCTTCTTTTGTAAACATTCCCTTAAAGTTAAAATGAAAACTGCTCTTTCTTTTCTAACGATGAGAGAAAGAGAAATACATATTTTTTCCTGTTCTGCCTAAAATATCAAAACCACACAGCCAGTGAGTGGTTCCTAAATGCAAACACCTTGGTGACCTCCCCTTCTATTTACACCCTCCCTGGGACTTCCTGACAGCAGCCACCCTCTGAGTTTCCCCCTCTCTTCTCTCTGCTCCTCACTGTCATCTCTCTCCACTGAAAACCGCCAGGCAAACCACAAACAAGCCTGGCTCACTGCATAGGCACTTACTTTGTCATTGTCTTTTGCTTTTCTAAAATGTACCTCATGTAGCCCAGGCTGGTCTCAGACTTGCTATGTAGCCAATGATGACCTTGAATTTCTGATTCTCCTGCCTCCATCTCCCTAGCTCTGGGACTATGAGTGTTTGCTACCAGGTCTGGTTTGCACAGGGCTCTACCCAAGGCTTCCTCCTTGCTAACCAAGCTGTCTACTAAATAATCTACATCCCCAGCCCCACTATGCAGAATATTTTGCTTTGGGATACATACTAGCTGAAACTGGCACCCTCAGATTTAGTTGCTTTGCAAGTATAGACAGGATTGAATATTAAATGTGCATATTATTATGATCAGAGACCCATACAGACAGTCTGTGTACATGTATTAGCAAGCAAAATGTATTTACAATTTCATGGGTTTTTCTTTGGCTTGAAGTAAAGCTATAGAAAGATGAAACATTTGATAAGCTAGCTGTATTTTATTTTGCATTCTCTATTGCTTTAAGCCCTAGACATTACCGAGAAGTGGGATTAAGAAGAAGCAACCAGGAAAAACAGATCCCACATGGACTCCTTACAGAGAAAAAGTTACCTGGCAAAGCCAACGCCCCTGCTGACTCCGTTAGCATCTCTCAGGATTCTGGTGGATATCACATGTCCAAAGGGCTTTAGCATGTTCTCCAGCTCCTGTTCATCCATAGAGATGGGGAGATTTGAGATGTATAGATTTGTAGGGTCTTGTTCTTGTTGCTAAGGGAGGAAAAAGAAACAAATGCCATGAGATCTATTGAGAAGCACTGAACTTAAATTGCAACCCAGAGTTTAAAATCCTTCAATTGCTTCCAGGCTGCCTCCAAATAAGCCTTAGATAGCCAGGGTGACTGTCCTAGTTAGGGTGATTGTTGCTGTGATGAAACACCATGACCAAAGAAACTTGGGGAGGAAAGAGTTTATTTCAGTTTACACTTCCTAGTAACACAGAGCATGATTGAAGGAAGTCAAGGCAGGACCCTGGAGGCAGGAGCTGATGCAGAGGCCATGGAGAAGTTCTGCTTACTGGCTTGCCCCCCATTGCTTGCTCAGTCTGGTTTCCTATACAACCCAAGACCACCTGCCAAGGGATGACCCTACCCACAATGGGTCTTCCCCCATCAATCACTAATTAAGAAAATGGCCTTGCCTACAGTGCAATCGAATGGAGGCCTTTTCTCAGTTGAGGCTCCCTCTTCTATGTGACATTTGCTCGTGTCACACTGACACAAAACCAGCCATCCCAGTAACTTAGAGCTCATGACCTCCTGTGCCCTGACCTCTCAAGTGCTGAGATGATGGGTGTGCATTACCACATCTGGCCATGAATTCCTTTTGCTAAACTGCCTTCCTATGCAGAAAATTTCTCATAAAAAAAAGAATGCCATCAATGAAAGCCAGGCTATTTGCCCACCCTTCCTGGTAAAATACATACAAGTTTGTGTTGTAGGTGAGCTTAGGGTAACACAGATAGAAATCTTACCTTATCTATGAGGCAGCCCCCAGTGACACCTCAAACCTCAGATGGCAATGAACCCTACCGTTTCATCCATCCCATCTCTGTTAAGTGCTTGCTATGTACTATGTATGACTTTTATGCAGGGGTGACTGTAAAACTCCCATGCTTTGTCTCCTCTCACAACTTCACGGATAGGAGTCTCTTGGCCATCCCATTAATACAAATCTTTTTTTCTCAAATCATGAGCATTCACCTTCTCACCTGAGAGAAACACTGCGAAGCTTCTCTTGAGATGTTCATACAGCCAGCAATACTACATTTGCCCTGTGAGGTCACTAAAATAATGGTACCTGAACAGGCACTGCCTAGGTACAACAGTAGATCTGATAACTGACATTGCTTCTTGTTGGAGAATAGTATTTTAACTAGGTAAAGATGTAAAGATGTATTGTTTGTTTATGATAAGGAATATTACCTTAGCTGTGTAGTTATTATTTATATACAAAATATATTCATGTTTACGCTGCATTTGTTTAATTGTGCAAAGATGTGTTACATTTGTTTCACCTTGCCTGCCTAAAGTCCCTGATTGTTCTAATAAAGAGCTGAATGGCCAATACTTAGGCAAGAGAAAGGATAGGTGGGGCTAGCAGGCAGAGAGAATTAACCTGAGGAGGTTTTGACTCAAGAGGAGCAAGAGGAGAAAATTAGGGAGACACCCTGAACCGGAAGCCAGGCAGCTACTGCCAACCAGCCAGTCAAGACAAGTAGTGAGAGAAAGATAGACAGAAAGAAAAGTAAAAAGCCCTGAGGCAAAAAGTAGATGAAGAGAAACAGGTTAATTTAAATTAAAAGAGCTAGAGGGTAAAGAGCTAAGATAAGGCCGAAGATTCAAAACTATTAATAAGTCTCTCTGTCATGATTTGGGTGCTGGTTGATGGCTTAGAAGAAAAAGCCTGGTGCAGCCCCTGAGTCTTTGACAGGGGGGTAGTATATACAACATGAACACACTGGACAACAGACCAATTTACAACCATAGCAGGTCATAGAAAGTGTTCACTGTGTGTTCAGGATAGTGTCAATGCACAATTATCACTGTGGACTTAACTTCTGGAATTTTCTACTTTCTAGTTTTGGATTGTGGCTTTCTCTGGGTAGTTGAAGCACCAGACTGGAGACTTCTACTAGCTACTGCTCTTACAGTACCAGTTTCCAGTCTAGGTACACCACTCTAGGAATGCTCCATTTGTTAGGTCATCATTCTAGGTTCTTACCATGTACTTTTTTCACCCATTCCTCCTTAACAATATAATTCCTATTTTGCAGATGGCACATGCAATTCCTAACTTGTTCATATGACACAATTCATAAGTGTGAAAGGCAGGGCATATATATACCTTAGACTTCCATCTAGTCCACAATTTTTATTGCTTTTTGATGCTGCCCTCCACTAGACCAGCAGGCACCATGCTGTGGACCAGAACTTCAGAATCAACAATACCTGAAGCCAGGGTTGGAGGGTACACCTGTACTCTCAGCATTCAGGAGGTGAAGGGATGAGAGTCTGAGGTTCAAGGCTAGTCTCAGCTACATAGTAACTCTCAGGCGAAATAAATTAAGAATAAATAAAAATTTGAAAATGTCACTTAAAACTGGGTAGAAATACCAAGTCTCAGAACCACCTTGAGTTACCAAATTGTGAACTCCAAATACAGGCTTATTTTAACAAGCCCTCCAAATGATTCTGATAATTGCATCAATTTGAGAGTTGCCTTCTCAGACCAAGCAGGAAAACTTATATGCAAATGAGCTCATTATGTCTAACATTGTATTCAGCAGTGACAATGCTTACGTAAGCTTTGCTTAATAGCAAAAAAAAAACAAAAACAAAAACAAAAAAACCTCACAACTGCTCGTATTATCTGTATGTGTGAATATTCTATAATTCATATATGAACTAATAAAGGGAAACCTAATTATATGTATTTTTTAACAGTCAAATGGTCTGAAACAAAACAGGGTCAGAATGTCATAACTAATCACTAATATCAAAATAAGTCAGACATTTAATTGAGCCATTATAATTTAGCCAAAACAAAACCTTAGCTTCAAGACTAAACAAAAGATTAAACTTGCAAAAGAAATCTAAAAATCTTCTGGAATAAATAATTGTTTTTTTTTTTTTTTTTTTGAAGAGAGGCTAAAAAATGCAATTCCAAATGCTATTTTAGGTCAAGAAATAATTTTGATACAAAATTAAATTGCATTATTCTTAACAACTTAATGCAAATGGGTCACATTATTTTTATTCATTCTTGAGCTGAAGAAGACTTTGTCATGGAGAGATGACTCAGTGGCTAAGATCACTTGTTGCTCTTCTAGAGCAGTGCTTCTCAGCACTGAGCCAGCGGCTCACAACCATCTGTAACTCCAGCTTTGGGGGCTCTAATTCCTCTTCTAGGCTGGAACACATGTGGCACACATACATACACCCAGGCAAAACACCCATTCACATAACATTTAAAAATAAATAAAACCTCCAAAGAAAATCTACAACCTGGCGTGTTATTTAAACATAACTTATTTTTGAACACTTTCATTTTACTACTAGGAAAATATTAAGAATGAACGAATCTATCTGAAAAAGGCCACAGCTTTAGCATTTGGGAATGGTGCTTATACGGGAAATGTACAAACGAAACTCTTGTTTTGTTTCCTATCCTCCTCCTCCTCCTCCTCCTCCTCCTCCTCCGCCCCCTCCTCATCCTCATCCTCCTCCTCCTCCTCTCTCTCTCTCTTTCTCTCTCTCTCTCTCTCTCTCTCTTCACACACACACACACACACACACACCCTTGGTGACATATACTATCACCAACAAACCTCAAATGTCATGATCGTAATAAGAAAATGAGATACTATTTTTCCATTAACCGGCTGAAGGTCTGTCTCTCTCTCTCTCTCTCTCTCTCTCTCTCTCTCTCTCTCTCTCTCTCTCTGATGCTGCATATACATAATAATGAGCCTTATGCATATAAACCTTCAACTTTTACAGTATTTTACTATCCATCACTTAATTTTAATCTCCCCATCATAACTGTAAAGGTATTTTGGCAAATATCATCGTTCGTATTGGATAATGAGGAAATAGAGCCATGAAAGATTTATCACCCTGCCCAAGGACAAGCTGATAATTAGTGACAGAGTTACAATTAGACTTAGAACCAGCTCAGTGTTCCCCAAGTTTCAATCATTTGCATATCAGCTCTTAGATTTTTTTTTGCCTGCCACATACTATTTATTTAAAAGGTTTCTCTAAAACCAACATGCCTTTAGGATTTAAACTCATTTTAAATTCACAACTTTCTGTTATAACAGAAGAGCCAGCATCTCCTGCCATAAATAGAATGTTACAACAGTGAGCAGATTAAGGAATTAGCAATATTTGTTTGTGGATACCTATGACATTTCTAGTTGACTCTGATGCAAAAGGATTTTCAATGGACAGAGGTGAGAGGTGCATTAGAATGCTTGTTTTAAACTGGGAAGAATCAGTTCCGACAAAGAACTAAAAGAGAAACAACATTATTTTAATGCACGGCAGGAGGGGTGTGTGCAAAGATGGGGGCCGGAGGGCAATTCAGGTATTCACTTAGGAACTCCATCCACCTCCCTTGAGATCGAGTCTTTGGGTGGCCTGGGCCGCACCCATTATGATAGACTGGCTAGTCAGAGAGCCCCACATATACACTTTCTCCTGCCCAGGGCAAAGCATCAAACACTGATCTTTCATGTTTACTTGGTGAGGTGGTTTGAATGAGAATGTCGCCCATAGGCTCTTATGTTTGACTACTTGGTCCCAGTTGGTAGAACTGTTTGGGAAGCATTAGGAGTTGTGGCCAAGTTGGAGAAGGTATACCACTAGGAGCAGGCTTTGAAAGGCTTAGCACTTTCTATACCTTGTGATTATTGTCTCAAGATGTCAGTTCTCAGCTATTGTTCTAGCACCATGCTTACCACGCACTGTGCCATGATGGTCATGGACTATCACCTTCTGAAACCGTAAGCCCCAAGTAAATGCTTTCTTTTATAATTTGTCTTACTGGTGGTGTCTTATCAAGGCAACAGAACCATAATTATGACCCGTGGGTCCTGGGGATAAAATTCAGACTACCTCACTTGCATGGCAAGCACTTTAGCAACAGAGCTATCTCCCCCTCACAAGGAACAACATGGTTTTCTAGAAAACATACATTGAGGAATC